TTATGGGTGTATATTTGTGAATAATATGTACATTTTTAAATAAGTTTAGAATTCAAAAAGAGGTATATAATATTGTTAATAGTATTTATGACAAATTAAATATTTATACAAAACTGCTAGTACACATTTGTCATTTGTACTAAGTTAAATCATATTTCAGACCGAGAAAGTATATCTAATTTTTTTTAAACAAAACATCATTTTCTCACGTAATAGRCTCATAATTAAGAGTTAATATCCATATTATATAGGTATAATATTAATTTAGTGACGAAAATAAATGTATATAAATTGCAAATAGTTAAATTACATTTTCGAATTGGGACAACTAAATTATATTACCCATTTAATTATTAAATATACTTATATACCAAATAATATATACATCGTACAGTTTCTATTTAATATCTTTTCGTATTACACAATTTTTACGCTTCTCTTTTATAATTTTATTAAATAGGTAACTAATAAATTATGGTTATATTTTCTAAATAATAATAAAAACAGTTTCTTTTAAATTTAAAAATACTATAGGAACTAATAAAATATAGTARTAAACATAATCAGTCATTTTTGCCTTTAAATAATTGTTACGTATTTAATTATATATTACACTCGACATTCCTGCATACTGACCCAGATAGGATATAGGAAGTATCGAGAATGGCTGAGGTAATGACCCGATTTTCTTCCTTAACCACAACAACTTTTTTTAGTTCATATAGTATAGATATGCGCATCGAGGCTAACAGATGTCATATTGTTTTTTTTTAAACACCAGCAGACTGCTGTATTAGAAAAAATTGTCTGTCTAAGATGATTCAGTTAATTTATTAATACTCACATTGAGATRGGATTAAAAAATTCTTAATTATTTCGTATTCGTAGTACCTAGTTATATAATGTGTATCTGTGTCACAAAACATAATTTCGAAATAGGTATAAATTTAAAATAATATATTTGTATGCTAATGCAAAGCATTAATTAATACAAAATAAATAACATTATTTTTATCCAAATACTGAATATAATATAATATATACTCATGACCCATATAGTAGAATATAGATAATAGGTAGGTACTTAGGTACTATAATTACAAATACTTTACTTAA